GGTATAAATATTATTAATGTATAAGTTATGTAGTGACATTATTGTTTAATGAGCTACGTCTTGGCATAGGTTTTTTTTTTTTTTTTGGCTATGAAAATCTAATAACTCTATCGACCAAATTAAAAAGTGTGTCCCCTGAAATCTGATGTAAATTTTAGGCCCTGAATCAGCTGATTCGGCTGTTTGTCGAATTTAAAATTTATATGATTGTCCTCTGCGGTATATTTCTTAAAACTCATTCCAGAAGTTTTTAAATTGGCCGGCACTAAAATTTTCCCTAGTCCATACAAATTTATGGTGTTGGCATGGAGCAATTTTTGGTAGTTTGTTGGGTAAAATATCTGATGATTGATTCTGATGCTTATTATGCTGCTGCTGCTGATCATTATTATTACTTAAGGGATGATTATTCTTATTCTGATTATACAGATTTTTATTATAATGTTTATTATTTTAATGATTATAATTATAATTGTGCTGATTATTATTATGATTATTTAAGTGATGACTATTCTTATTTTGATAATGCTGAATCTTACTATGATGTTTTTTGTTTTGATGATGCTTATTGTGCTGCTGCTGATCATTATTATTATTTAAGTTATGAAAAAAAATAATTATCACTTAAATAATAATAATGAACAGCAGCAGCAGCAGCATAATAAGCGTTAAAAAAAAAAAACATCATAATAAGAATCAGCGTAATCAGAATGAGAATAATCATTACTTAAATAATAACAATAATAATCAGCACAACAATAATAATAATCATCATAAAAAAAAACATAATAAGGATCAGCGTTATTAGAAAAAGAATAATCATCACTTAAATAATAATAATGATCAGCAGCATAATAAGGGTTAAAAAAAAAACATCATTATAAGAATCATTGTAATCAGAATAAAAATAATCATCACTTAAATAATAACAATGATCAGCAGCAGCTTAATAAGCATCACAAAAAAAAAAAAAACATGATAATAATAATAATCAGCATAATTTGAATAACAATAACCATCGCTTAAATATTAATAATAATAATCTCAAAAAAAAAAAAACCATCATGATAATAATCAGCGCAATCAGAATGAAAATAATCATCACTGAAATTATAATAATAATCAGCACAATCAGAATGAGAATAACCATCGCTTAAATATTAATAATAACAATCATCAAAAAAAAAAAAACATGATAATAAAAATAATCAGCACAATCAGAATGAGAATAATCATCATTTAAATAATAATCATGATCAGCAGCAGCATATTAAGCATCAGAAAAAAAAAACATGATAATAATAATCAGTATTATCTGAATAAGAATGATCATCATAAAATAATAATAATAAGAATAAGCACAACAATAATAATAATAATCATCAAAAAAAACATAACAAGAATCAGCGTTATCAGAAAAAGAATAATCATCACTTCAATAATAATAATGATCAGCAGCAGCTTAATAAGCATAAAAAAAAAAAAAAAACATGATAATAATAATAGTCAGCATAATCTGAAAAACAATAACCATCGCTTAAATATTAATAATAATAATCATCAAAAAAAAAAAAACATGATAATAAAAATAATCAGCACAAT